TCTAATTAGTGAATGAACTTTGTATTCCTATGTAATCAGTCAATTTAGTTCCGTTGTATGAACTTTTTGTTTCAAAAATGAATGAACTGAAGTCTTGTTTCTACTTTCAGTTTAAGAAATGAATGATGTATTCCTTGTTCTTAGTTAAATGCTCATGTTACATGCTTGTTAGTTCTGCTCAATGGTTGTGGTAAATGGTTGTTAATTTAGGAGTTACAGTTTGATAAATGCTCAAATGCTCCTGAGTTTGATAGCTAGTGTTTGATAAATGCTCAAATTAGTTTCTGTCATTTTGCAAGAAGTGAGTAAAGGACAGAGATGACAAGAAGAAGATTAGTTTCTGTCACTAAATGCTCCTCTCATTTGTTGTTAAGGTCAGTTCTATTAAATGCTTGTTAGTTGGATAAGTTACTTTCTATTCATTAATGCTTGTTAGTTGGATAACAGCTTTAGAATTCTTTAATTTTATAAACACATGTCTTATTCAGTTTGTTTTCTTGAAGTCACACTTTAAAGCCTCTGTAGTAGTTGCTCATTGATTCTTGATGTCACAAGTTGAGCTTGCTTGTTCTTTGAAGAGAAACATAGTATAATTTTGTGGTTCTTCGATTTTTTGTTTACTGTCTCTATGATGATATTGTGATTTCTGTTTCATCATTGATTGAAGGTCATTCCGGGGATAGAAACAGCGGTGAGGTCGATGAAAGTAGGCGGGATTCGTAGGGTGATTATACCTCCATCACAAGGCTACCAGAATACATCACAAGAACCTCTCCCCCCAAAATGTATGTGCATGCACCTCTGTCTCTTTTATCAATCTTCTCATGTAATGAAGTCACACTTCAGTTTGGAAACAAGGTTGACGTGGAGCTTTGTATTGTATCATCTTCTTTGTCTACAGAACACTATTATCTTCTTTGTCTTTATGCTTTGTCGATACATTCAAACAAACAAAGACACTGTATAGACCAACTTGATTTGTAACAGAACACTCTATTATTTGCTTTGTCCTTATATTTGCTTTGAAAAAGATCACTCTATTATTTGCAGCAACAGAACGTTTTGTTATATATGTAACCAAACTTCACCACATA